CTTACCATCAGGTGGACTGTGTGTTCGTTTGTCACCCTTATTCTATAAAAAAAAAACTAATAAAAATACTGCAGTTGCCAACCTGCTTGACCAGCGTGGCAACTATGACGTATATATTCCGCTATCTGGCAATATATGGAGAGGCTTATGTCCAGCAGTGTACTTTCGGTAGGCCATAACGAATCAATGAAACTGCATTCGTTTTTTTATTGTTGTTGTTGTCCGTAAGTATGTATGTTTGCTTTTTATGGAATTTAGGGTCCACCTGATGGTAGATGGATGCCTGTGGCACGTAGACATGTAAATCTATCCTCAATTAAGAATTAAAATGCATATGTGTAGTAGTATTCTGTGTATACCTCGGTCAAATACACACAATACAAATATCGTAAATATTTGAACATTCCGATAAGAATAAAAATATGTATCATTAAATTTTTTAATGAACATTGCTTTTGTCGTTCTCGATTTTGACTATGTAATTAATTATTTATACGCTGTCGCCTTTTATTTGTAGCATATAAAATGAACTTTATGATACCCACACACGTTACGAACGGAAGCTCGTTCGCGATCCCGCTCTGTAGATTACGTACGCGCCGATCAATGTTGTACCTAACGATTATTTGTGAACTCGTGCAAAATTGTATTTATCGTGCGACCCGACATTGACGCCCAAGTGTTTCATGTTATCAGCATATTTTTTGTTGCTGGTGTTATAACGGTAACCGTTTTTTCCCAATGACGTACACAACATAACCATACATGTTAATGTTAGAAACTAAGATGTAAATATTTTTTGGAACGAAGTTCCTTATCGCACGAACGAATTTGACGGATGGAGGTTAGACGAGAAAAAGTGTAAGATTTTTCCGTCACGAACCCTTATGGATGGAACACATGTTCCATCTCCTTCACCTTTTTCTTATCTTGCCAAGAAAGAAATATTAGTTTAAATATTTAGTGTTTTACGACACTCACCCATGTTTTTTCTTCAATTTTATTTCGAGAATCGAGTACCGCCAGCAGTATACGCTAGCAAGTAGCGTCGAATACGGGAAATTATTACTTTCGAGGACTGCTTACTTTCAATAATGGACGACAACAGGTTGATGAGTGACATGATTAATATGAAAAAGTCTAAAACAATAATATATTTATGAAATATATTTTACTGTCATGTGTCTGTTTGTGCGTGCGTGCGTGCGTGTGTGCGAGTTTGCTTGCGGACGTGCGTGGGGAAGTCCGTGATTGCGTGCGTGCGTGTGTATGTGCGTGCGTGCGTGTGTGCGTGCGTGCGTGTTTGCGTGCGTGTGTATTATAATTTTATATGCGAACAATCAAGAAAAAGCTCGTTATTATTTTAATGTAGTATGGTCACCCGAGGCAAGTGTGACATAAATTAATTAAAACTATAATGGACATTTAAATAGTTCTGTATGGATTTAAGATAGAGAATTCAGTTTCATAACATCAATTAATAAGTGGTTGTTTGTTTGATCAAGCATTTTAGTATCTACAAGTAGCATTTTGTAATTTAAGGTAATTAAAACTAATTGAGATGGATGACTGGTATGCTTCTTTTTGTAGTTACTTTATTATTATCTGTGGTTTTCGACAAAATTGAAGATATCCATTCCTCGAGTCCATTTTTGACATGGGGCAAGTTTTCTAAGTAGTTCTAAAAAAATTACGTCTGTCGATAAAATAGTTGGAGCTAGGTATGTACTTAACTGTCGGTATAGTCAATGGCGTAAACGTTTCTGCGTTATTAAATAGAAGGAATTTAACCAATAAAACGTGTTTATGCCGTATAATATGCGTTTGTTACACTTGCCCCACTGTTACACTTGCCACGGGTGACACATATACGTACGTAGTATAAACTAGTATATACTAGTGACGCTACACTAACAATTTATACATTATATAAGTCTAACAGAAAAATAATAGAAATCTATTAATAAGTGCAAATGATAGTAAGAATTAAGATTCTTAGAAGCCTTTAAATGCTCGTAAACGAACTGTACAAATTTCAACTGGCAGGAAATCTTAATGAAAACGATAGCGCAACAATATTACCAGCAGCGATAATTTTTCTGCAATTTCTGCAACACCTTGCAGAATATATTCTGTCAATGTTGCTTCAACTGTAACGTCGGGTAATAGAGTGCATAAGCGTGAAACAAGTGGCTTAGCAACATTGCACTGCGTTGCGCGATGTGGACAGCAACTTCACGGTTATTACAATAGCAGCTAGAAATAACCATAAAAACCATATAACTAGCCCGTTTACGACCTCTTAAACGCATGTATCGAGATATTGTTGTATAATCGCTTAACGTTTTCCTGTTTAATCATTATCGATAAAGGCAAATTTACACTCCACGTAATGGATGTTAAAAGTCCCCCGATGAACATAGGCCACTCCCAAAGAAAGACTCAAAGCACGGTACAAATACTTAATGTGTAAGACACAAAGCACGGTACCGAGCCATCTGCAGCCCCTAAACCACCTACAATGAGAAATTTTGAGTCATTACAAATATTTAATGTGTAAAACAACTTTCTTTCCGTCACAAGATTTATCAATCTTCAGAAAAAGTGCAGCACTTGCAAAATCGGAATCCGTTTATATAACATCTTTAAATTTTAAAACCAAGCCACAGTTTCCATATTTTGCGGGAAAACAGTCACGAAGGGTTATTTATATTTAGGTTGGAACGGAAGCTTATTCCATACACGAATAAATACAAAATGATAACGAAAACAAATGCGGAATGAAGAAATATTGACGTTTTACTTTGAATATATTTAGATGTAATCACATGTTATTATAATTTGACATATTATATTTTTTATTAATAATCGATGCATATTATATTATATTATGTTATGATAAATGATGGGTAAGACTACATTAAACACATCAATTAGGCTTTCTTAAGAGTTAAGACACCGTCGAACAGCACGGTGCGCGCGAACGGAATTAATTTACCAATTCGGTAAACCAGTCCGATATACACGTATGTGTAAGAAAACTATAGACGTTATGAGAACTGTGACAACATAAATACCGAGTTACTGGGTTGGGCAATAAATATTTTACCTATCTATATAAATTATATTCGCATACATGCTGCATTCTCGACCTTGTGTAAGATTTAGAAGTCTTAAATATATATTCAGTCAAAAAAGTATCGAGAATGGATGATTTGTTTATGGGGTTCCAAATTAAAATTTTTTTTTGTTGTTAGATTGGCACAACTGTTTTCATGGCTCGGAGTTTGAGTTGAGTTTGAGAAAAAGCGTTTAAAAATGTTTTGATGATTAGATTATTCGTTGGAGAAAGTGTATCGTTTCTGAAGGAGCATACTTTGAAGGTGATAAAATAAATTTGCGATGAATAACCAACATTTTGCATAATATATTTGATCTTTTCCCGGTATTTTCTTGACAGAGTAGTATATGCATAATGTTGAGGTGTGTAAGGTTTTTCGAATGATGTGCGGGTAGGGCCGGATACCCTGTTTACTGGTAAAAAACCCATTACATTTTAGTCCGCGGGCGGCTTGCCCGTCGCCAGTCCGTGTATACCTGCGTCATAGGTGCAAGACGTCTGGCACTATGACTCTTCATCGCCAATCTAAACGAGACGATTAAGTTTCCATTACTAGACTTTGACCAGGCGTTATTATTAGAAGTACGAGTAATATAACATTACAAAGGGAGAGACTTATGCCTAATTAGCAACTTTAATAGCCGGTAATCGATAACGATGACGAATAGACGCGAATAGATAGTTGTACAACGTTCATAACGCATTGGTTATATTGGAATTAATATTAAATTTACAGTTGGTTTGCTTAAAGTAAAATAATTTTAATTATTTAATATCAGAAGTACTAAAGGTAATCTTCCATTTTAATTCGGTAGCGACTACACTCCAAGTCTCCAAGACTAATCGAATTGCTATTGCCGCCACAAACTAAGTGATAAAATTTGACATTAACTGACATCATAATCACTAACTGTGTGATATAACTTGTTATTTTGTTATTCAGAGTAATTTATACCAAGATAATTGCTATGCTTGATAATATGTGTTATAATATAAAATTTGCTGTATTTTTCTATTATAATATTGAAAACGTTACACGTGTTAGAGCCACGCTGCAGCTATATTTGTGTTGTAGTACGAATGCGTCGGCTCGACCGGGGCAGGACCACTCACAGAATACCAGCGGAATAAAATAAGCTTAATGTTTTGTATGTTTAGTGCAGAGAACTAGAGACCCTTTTTACTGGAAACGAGACAGCTCTCAGGGGTGACAACGCATCTGCATTTTGATGCTTAATCTACTTGCCATCAGGTGGACTGTGTGGACTGTTTGCCACCCATAATCTATTTACTGGAAATGAGGCATTCCATCTTAGTCCTCACGGGTGACAACGCATCTACATTTTGATTTGTAATAGAGGATAGATGTAGATGTCTATGGGCCGCAGCAACCACTTACCATCAGGTGGACTGTGTGCTCGTTTGTCACCCTTATCCTATAAAAAAAAACCGTTGTCATCTTAGTTTGATGAAAAGGTTCCTTTGCCGCCTAGAAGTTATAAGTCGGTACTGCCTTTATTTTTCTGCCACAAATCAGCAGTACCTACGCTATTATTGTGTTGCGATTCCACCTTCGGTTTAGAGCTAAATAGTTACAGGTTAAGAAGCATTCCATCATACCCGGCCCGGCGTGTAGGTTTTTTTTATAGAAGTAAGGGTACACAAACACACAGTACAACGTATACCTAGTATATGGGTGCTGTGACCCATAAACCAGCTACATCGATCCTCGGTTAAGAGTCAAAATATAGATGCGTTGTCACTCCTGAGGACTAAGGTAGAATGCCTAGTTATAAGATAAAAGGGTCTCCGGCGTCAGTAAAAGGTGAGGTTAGTGTTTTAATTTTAAATGATAAATATATTTTGTCTGTTGTTTCAGGTTATGTGCGCGTGTCGTTAGATAAGCAACCGTGTACTGTGATAGGGGTGTTGCGACGATCCACCACTGTGGAATGGTTCCGGAGTGTTGGCGGTGTCTTGTGAATGTGAGTAAACTTTCTAGTGCTTAGTGTAATGAAGTGTATACGGTTTTTGAATTTGGAACTTTTAAATTTTCGAAGAAATTTAATATTGTATTGATTTGCTGATTGCCAGTACTGGTGTTTGGTAAGATATTGTATACATCATGTGTACGTTTCCTTGCTTTCATATTAACTTTGATATAATATATTAATTTACTACATAATATTATGTAGTCAGTTTGCAGTTCGCGCAGAAAGCGTGTCTGAGCCGTGCGAACCATGACTTAGGTATACTTTGTATGGAACTAAGGCTAGAAAAGTGTTACGTAGGTATAACTTATCGTAACAGTTTTATAGCCTTATGTATTCTTAGCCAATATATAATGCGTTATTTAATTGGTTATTAACTTGACACTTAATTCACTCCATTGTGGGAAGTCAGAAAGTGTCAATAAATGCACGTATGGCAATACACAGTGCATAATACTCTCGACGTCGACTCGAGTCGACTCGAGTCGACTCTCGTTAATTCGAAACTCGAGGGACTCTTAAAATATTACGAATTATCGAGTGTTTGAATTATCAAATGGTTCGAAATAAATAAAACTTTGAATTGTTAAGTGTTGATCAATTATTATTTATTAACTGCTATTCTTTAACAATTACAAAAGTTTAGAGGTACATTCGTGTACATATTCGTAATGTGAATTAATTAATCTTTCGAAATAACTGTTTATACTGGTTTGCTTCAAAGCACATTGTTGCACGAAACACTTGCATTTGCCATTACTTTTTTTAACCGAATTGGGTTTCTGAATTATAATCCTAAGTGAAAAAAAATAATCGTGATACTGTATTGATAAGTTAGCTAAACTGCGATCAAGGTTTGAAAAAAATAATTCAATATTATTTTTTTAAAACCTTAATAATAAAAATAATTCCTAGTGTGGATATTTGTTAGCATATCCACACTAGGCAATTCTCTTGTACAGGGGCATATATACATAAATTGCATGTGATACTTGATTCGTGCGGGAATCGAAACTGCAGCACCCAGCAGCGCAACTAATACTAAGCCCTTTGCTAGCAAGGCGTTTAAAACAGTAAAACGAACGGTTAAACAAGTTTTTGAACGCAAAAAAATAAATAATATCATATCCAACAATTATTGTAGGTACTAACATTTACTTGTACCAATTACGTCGTCAGACGCCGTCCGTGTAACAGTTTGTAGCTAAATACTCAACGCGCCTTTCCTTGCATAACTATACACTCGAGATGCCACAAAAGTGGTCAGCGAATTAAGGACAAGTATGTATCCATGACAGATAGTTAATTAATGTGCTATTTAGCCCGTGACAAGCACAAATAGGATAAATAACCGCAATAGCTACAGCAGCTATTGCGGTTATTTGTCCTTGACTGAAAGAGAGGTACACGATTCATAATAATATCGACCAGCGACGGAGACAACTTCCAAACACGGCAGCCATATAATTCACAGGTCATAGTATATGTGCACATATATTTGGCACTACACTATAATGCATGTGCACTGCACTGTAACGTCCTGTACCGTGGTAAAGCCGTGGCAGTTAAAGTTCCATACCACCAATGTAATTCTTAATTTCAGTTTTAAGTGCTACAACTGTAACTTGATCGGTGAAAGAAAACATCATGAAGAAAACTGTATGTCCGTGAATAAATCTTACGATAGCATGTGAAATCTGCCAACACGCTATAGGTGTGTGAGGCAGCGCGACGTAATATTCTTTCTTGCCCATAAGCCATTACCGTTACAGCCTATTAAAGTCCACTGTTGAACGTAGGCCTGCCCCATAGATTACCTCATGTGGGGGGGGGGGGGGATATTTTCCATAGTTGCCACGCTTGGCTAGCGGGTTGGCAACCGCAGTTTTTTTATTTTTAATCGTTATGATATGGGTTAGTGGATATTCTTACACCGCCACTACACGGTCATCTTGCCCTTAAAACCCACTCTGTATTAATTTTATATTAACAACGATTTGTGCAAGAATTTCATATTTACTAATAATACACCACATACCTGGAGATTATGTAGTTCGATTCGATTCTACAGAAAATCTGAACTGGATGTAGTTACATATAAAGGAATATCACTTTTAAGTTTATGACTTCCGCACAAGAGGTACAAATAAAATTTCAGTCATTGGCGCATCAAAAATTATATGAAAAGTAGGATAAAAAAATGTATAAAGGTAATCCTCAGCTTTTCTTTAAAAAAATTGCTTTTAAAATAGCTATAAGCCATATAACTCTGCGTTGGTGGCGCGAATGAAATATATTTACGATTTGCACTTGGAGGCTTTCAAAGATTTCGCATACCAAACGCACCTTAAATCAAGTCTAATATGTATATTTCATTTATTGCTTCAATATAATGCTTATTTAGTTATTGCTTTATTATAATCCCGTTGTGTCGTAAGAGACGACAATAAAGAAAGAGTATCTTCCTAACAATAACTTAATAAACAAAACAGTTTTTGCTAACCCGCCTGCCAAGCATGACAAGTATGGCAAATATCCAACCTATAAGCCAATCTGGGTCGGCTCGATCGGGGAAAGACAACGCTATCACTACGATATACTGCATTGCATTGCATTACATGCATTTTAATACGTAATCGAGGATAGATGTAGATGTCTACGGGTCACAGTAACCACTTACCATCAGGTGGACTGTGTGCTCGTTTGTCACACTTATCATATAAAAAAATTCAAAAGTGGACTTTTGGGGGACTATAATGATGATCACGATGATTGCTTTAAATCAGTTTGTAACAACAGTTCTTTTGTGGATTATTAACGTGTAATATGATACATATATATACGGCAGAATATACCATATATATTTTATTTATTTCTTTAATTACACTTTGTAACAACAGCGGGGTTAGCCAAAATGACTTATAAGAACGATTAATCACATGACAGTCTTGTAACCTAGCATTCATTTAAATAGTTTTCTGCAGACTTCCCAAAAGGTGCCGGTACTCAATTCGACTGTACCTATGTTCTTTTTTTATGTGTGTTACCTCATAACTTTCTCCTAGGTGAACCGATTTCGATGATTCTTTTCTTATTTAAAAGCTGGTACTTCACGTGTGGTCCCATATGAATTTGATCAAGGTCGGACCAATAATTTTTGAGTTATTCTTAATAACTTATATTGAAGTCGGCAGTACAAAATTTTTTGTTTTAAATTATCTATAGTGTTAACGATCGTAGAACGTCATTTTGGCTAACCCCGCTGTTCTATTGTGGATCGTCTAATGCACATGGGCCTCTTCCATAAGAGACAGGATATTATACCATGACTGTTACGCTTGGCAGGCGGAATATCGATCTCAGTACAAGACGTCTCGCATCTTTGATACTACTTCCAGTCGCTAATGTTGCACCTGGTATAAATACCAGACTGATGTTTATGGCGTCATCTGTTGATGGCCTTGTAATCAGTCGGTCATCACTAAGTAGCCTTTTACGACGCCAACATTGGGTTGAGACCTGGTGATAGATGATTATTATACGCTACCGCTTCACGGTGAATCATACAAACTTAAAACGGCCATATTTCGACTTCTTAATAAATATTTTAAGTTCAATGTAGTATAAAAAAATTGCGTATGATAGACATGATACATTTATAGGAAGATTTTTCGCAGATGGATGGGTGAGTAATATCAATATCGAAAGGTTATTCGGCTTAGGTATATTTGAACAAATTTTAGCTTACAGGATACGCCGCTATCTGAAATGGTTTGGTTGGCTTTCGTAGAAAATGTTGATATATTGAATTCCGAGGGCCTGTGTTTGCAAAATGAAGTCACAACAAGAGCCACACACCTCGAAACCCAAAAATTTACTTTTTTGCACTAACTCCGGTTGGGAATTTGGTCAAAGACTCAGTAGTAAATAAGTTACTGCCGGTTAAAATTAGCGATCGTCGAAAATATTCTATTCTAAATATTAGGTAGAGAAGTAGGTTCTAAATGTTAGGTTTGTACGTGGTAGAGTCATGCTGCAGCTATATTATATATTAATATAGTTGTAGCACGAGTGCATTCCATCTTAGTCCTCACGGGTGACAACGCATCTGCATTTTGATTCTAAAACGAGAATAGATGCAGATGTCTATGGGCCACAGCGACCACTTACCACCAGGTGGACTGCGTGCTCGTTTGTCACCATATCCTATGAAAGACATTATTAAGTACATTACAGGTTTTAGTGAAATATTGAGTATTCCTTAATTAATGGTAGTATATAATATACAGCCTCTTGAATGCGCGTTTTTGGGATTGTGAGTTGTGACATGCCAAAGTACTGACGTTTTGAGGATTTCTCGTGTGTTTTGTTTCACAAACTTGTTTTTAAAATAAATACCTGAAATTGGGTGAACTAATAAACAGATTTTAGTTATATTAAAATAAAAGGAAATAATAACAAAATATAATAACATGTCGTATCTATTGACTGATGACATCGAGTTACCCAGCTTTTGTATATTCACCCATATTCATATATATTTTTATATAAACACATCGAAAATTATCATACATAGTTATGTAAATCACTATCAGTTTTTGTACTATTATTTATTTAATAAAACGCAAAACAAAACAACTTTTTTAATGTAAATTAACAAAATCAGTTGCGCTCTTTTTCTTACTGCCATAGGAAAAAGCCTTCATTGATAAACTACCTTTGCAAACTGTTAATTTCAAATTATATTCTTATTTATATAAGTTTATCGCCGGGAAAAAAAGAATTGGAATCTTTATATTATACATTTCTGAGTGTGACTGTTAGTCTTCAAATATGCTCAAGATAACTACTTAGATTAATTTTTCTATTCCTTCTCCTTCTCTTCCTCCTTAAACTTTAGCTCTCCTCCTTACCTTCCAGCCTCAAAACATTACTGAATATAGTTCTTTTCAAGTATTGGAACTACCATTTAACAGCTGTTAGGGAGTTGATGA